TATATATATATATATATATATATATATATATGGTCCTTTTTATATTTTTAAAGGGTCCTGGTCCTTACCCTTAAATATGCTTATCTATAACCTTAAATCAGTAAGATGAACATGACGTCTAAACTCCTCGCGTATTTTTTGTTTACAGGCTTCTTCAGTTTTAGGAATATCATAAGATAATACTAATAAAAAGAAAAAGATAAACATTAGAATATAAAATATGAAATAGATCAGAATAAATTTATGAAATAAATAAAAAAATAGTATAATTACTAGTCTGTTTTTCAATTGAACTAGTATACACTTATGTTTAAAATGAAATAGATATATGTTTAAGGATAAAGATAAAAAAGAAAATTTAATTGCAATACAGTAATAAAAAACAAGTCTATTATTAGTGGAACGTATATTTGTAATATTTATGATTATTTCAGGGACATAAATAAATGTTTGCGTGACTATAGGTTAAGTTGGTTACAAACATCTGCAGTTCATTATTTATGACGGTAAGAGTCACATACACATTAGTGGTACTTGACGGATCCAGGTTTTGTATAACTTGAGTACTCTTCGACGTGCGTCTTCTCGATTAACGGATAAAATCGGTTTCACTTGGCGAACAACACTCGAAGCTTGGCTGGCCATTTTGATCTACTAATCCTCCACTATCTCGAGTCTCGAACCTATCTCGCAATCGCAAGATATTTCTGTGTCGAATGCAGATGAATCTGAAAGACTCTGCCGTTACAACAAAACGAAAAATGTTGATTTTCGGAAATATTAGCTTTTACAGATAATGGTATTATTATTGCGTAACGTGCCAAATGTGAGATGTAAACCGAGCGACCTTATATTCTACACTTGCACTCCTACACTTTATCACTATCTTATCTTTTCAACTTCGAGATTTTTTTATATTATAAAAATTGATAACTTAAAGTCGATATATTTTTTAATATAAATATATAACAATTATAGGTGGATTATGCAAGTAAATATGCAATAATGCTCTTTTCTCCGAACGCTTTTTTGTAATTTTTTTAAATTTGTATATTATATACATAGAATCTCTGCTTTAATTAATCTTTTTATGTGGCTTGAAGTTCAAAATATACATCGAAATTGAAATTAAAAAAATATTGAGTGTAGTAAATATAGATGCAGAACAAATAAATATGAGGTCGTATACTGACCTACTTTATCCACGATGTATTCACGATGTATTTGTAACTAGTCATCGCTAGGTGGACTGCAAACTGCAACAATTGTTGAGTATTGCGTATTATTGCCAATTATTGGAGCAGCGATTATCTTGTGTTAGTTCGTGTTGCAAGCTCGTGGCCAATAAAAGAGGAGAAGAAAATTAGGAGCACTGCTCCTTGTTTGGAGCAATTGATCTGTCAGGAGACCGGCGTCGAATTATTGTGTCGGATCGAAAGAATTATTTATAATTGTGTAAGTATTATGTTGCAGAAAATGATATTAATATTACATTTCCTTATTCCTTAAGATATTCCGTAAGATATTTCTATAAATAAAGCATAATTGTAGCTTACATCAACTTACACATATAAGAGAAATAACTTTTTTTTTATAACATTTATATTTTTGTTTTTAATATATACAATTACATTTTGTATTCTGTATTTTAATAGTGTACGTTTTCCTTTTTAATTTATCACATATTTAACATTATTTTGTGTATGCAATCTTATTTTCTTATTTTTCAGAAAAATGGTTGTAAGATCATATCAAGAAGAGCTCAAATATTTAGAAAAGATAAATGAATGTTGTTGGAGAATTAAAAAAGGCTTTCAGCCTAACATGAAGGTAATTTTTTTATATTTCATATATAAATGCAAGACATTAAAAAAAATATATGTGATGCCAACAATTTTATTACCATTATTATGTATGCATTTTATCATGTAAACAAATTATGATTTAAGGTTGAAGGAGTATTTTATGTAAATAATACATTGGAGCGTTTGATGTTTGATGAATTGCGCAATGCATGTCGGCCAGGTGCTGTTGGAGGTTTCCTGCCTGGAATGAAACAGATTGCTAATGTTGCAGCTTTACCTGGTATTGTATGGAGATCTGTTGGATTACCAGATGTACACTCTGGATATGGCTTTGCTATTGGTAAAATATATCATCTTTTGTTTTCTTTTATTCTACATTGTAGAATAATTTACAATCGTATTAATTATATTAAATGAATAAAATAACAAACTAATAAATTATTATTATTATAAATGATTATTACACATAGGTAATATGGCAGCGTTTGACATGGATGATCCACAGTCAATTGTCTCACCTGGTGGCGTAGGCTTTGATATTAATTGTGGTGTTCGTCTATTACGAACAAATTTATTTGAAAAGGATATCTTACCAGTGAAAGTAATATTAACATTATTTTCTCTTTAATAATTTATTATATATATTTATTATATGCATAATAAAAAAATCTTTGCTTTAGGAACAACTTGCGCAAAGCATGTTTGATCACATTCCAGTTGGCGTTGGATCTAAAGGAATCATACCAATGAATGCACGAGATTTAGAGGAAGCATTAGAAATGGGAATGGATTGGTCTTTGAGAGAAGGTAAACAACATGCATTTTACGAAATTTAATTATTCAAATAGTTTTAATCATACTCAAAATATTCATAAGAAATTATCACTTAGGTTACATTTGGGCTGAGGACAAAGAGCATTGCGAAGAATATGGAAGAATGCTCAATGCAGATCCATCAAAAGTATCAATGAGAGCTAAGAAACGTGGACTTCCTCAAGTATATATCTAATTAATAAATTATTTATAATAAATTATTTAAATAAAATAGTGATTATTTAAATAGAGTAATTACATACATAAAATACAACATATGTATTAAAAATGTATTTAAAATTAGTTAGGAACATTAGGAGCTGGAAATCATTATGCGGAAATTCAAGTAGTGGATGAAATATATGACAAATGGGCTGCATATAAAATGGGCATCGAAGAAAAAGGACAAATTTGTGTTATGATTCATTCAGGGAGCAGAGGATTTGGTCATCAAGTTGCTACAGGTTATATATTATACATATATTTTTTATTTTCCTTTATTTTCTTTTCTCTCTGACATACGTTTAGAAACTATTACGAAGATTATACAATGTTTTAACAAAATAATATTTCAGATGCACTTGTTCAAATGGAAAAAGCTATGAAACGCGATAAAATAGAAACCAACGATAGACAACTTGCATGTGCTCATATTAAATCTCAAGAAGGTCAGGATTATTTAAAAGCAATGTCAGCTGCCGCCAATTTTGCATGGGTTAACAGAAGTTCTATGACGTTCCTTACTCGACAGGTATTCTAAAGAAATATATATATTGTAATTATAATAAAAGTACAAAATAATATATGATATACTTTTTTATAGGCATTTGCGAAACAATTTAATTTATCTCCGGACGACTTAGATATGCATGTTATTTATGATGTATCTCATAATATTGCCAAAATAGAAGAACATATAGTTGAGGGAAAACAGAAGACACTTTTAGTTCATAGAAAGGTAATTGTTTATAAGATATATATTACAATTGAACAAATAATGAATAGTTTTAGTGCTGATGTAACAATAACATAAATACAATCATTTAAATATAATCATATAAATATGTTTCTTAATATAATAAAAATATATTTTATTTGAAGGGATCAACGAGAGCCTTTCCACCTCATCATCCTTTGATTCCTGTAGATTATCAATTAACCGGTCAACCTGTTTTAATCGGTGGTACAATGGGTACATGTAGTTATGTTCTGACTGGTACTGAACAGGGTATGAAAGAAACATTTGGTTCAACATGTCATGGTGCTGTAAGTAAAAGTATTTTATATGAATTTTATTTTTTATATTTATATTAATCTAATTTAAATTTTATAAATAGCTTTATATGAACTATATCTTTATAAAATAATGATACAAAATATTTCTTTTCTTATATATAAAAAATATATGTACAGGGCCGTGCTCTCTCGAGAGCGAAATCACGTAGAAATTTGGATTATATGCAAGTTCTGCAAAAGTTAGAACAATTAGGTATATCTATACGTGTTGCTTCACCAAAATTAGTCATGGAAGAAGCACCAGAATCCTATAAAAATGTAACGGACGTTGTTGATACTTGTCATGCAGCTGGTATTTCTAAGAAATGCATTAAATTACGTCCAATTGCGGTTATTAAAGGATAATTCACAAAATATTTTGACAATTTTTTTATATATGATGATATATAGTAAATATATTTGCCAAACACTAAAGTTAATATATTGGCTAATAAAATTCAAATTGTGTTTGTAAAAATTATATAACAACATTTTTTTATAAATTGTAACATATATTTTGCAACATGGAATTATGTAACTGTTGATTAACTGTTGATTGTTACATTAGCTTTTTGTACTTAATGTAATGAAGTCATATACCAATACATTATATACCTAATGATATTAAAAGATCTATATGCGTTATAAACGCTAGTAGTTATTAAAATAAATTTAATATTAATCATAAAATTATATTACATCACATATACACATCACAAACTATACATATAATAGGAGGAGGAAAAATAAAGAATAAAATAAATTTTAAAAATATTTCGTTAGCGTTTTATTAGATAAAATGTACAATTACCTATTTTCGTAATAAGAAAGCTATATTAGACTAATTCGTTGACTTTACACAGGAATTAAATTCGTAGCATTACATTTAACAAATCCTCCACTGACTAGAGAAAATAATACAGGAAAGACACATGAAAGGAAGAGACAGTCCCGCGTTTTCACTTGCAAGTAGATAATGGAAGCAAACCATCACCATAAATAGTATATATGTATCATGACTTGTGGTGTATAACAGTGACTTGTTGTTCGAACCCTTGAAGAGAGAGTACAAAGAAACGAAATGATAGTCACTGGAGGAGTTGTGTACAGAAATACAAAACCGACCAGTAGGACGAATGGTCTGAGATGCATTCCACGTGAATTATAAAAATTTATGTTATTTATAAAATATTACTCTAAGGGACTTATGATAGGTGATAATCAGGAGAAGGTTCAGCTACAGATTCAGTAGTGAACAAAGGGTTTGGGAACTCTGGTGGGTGTGGCAGTGGTCCAGCAGTCTTTGGCTGACGTCGATACGCCATAAGCCAGCATGACACAGCGATAGCTACGGCAACCAGTGCCAAGAGCGCCGTAATTATCAACGCTATGATAAAGCCGACCATAGAAACACAGATATCTTCCACTCTTTGTGCTGAAGGAGCTAGAAAAGATATTTAAAAAGGAATATTTCTTTTATCTTATTTAACGCGTAACGATTATTGTTTTTTTCTACTACACGTCATATCTTACCTTCAGCTGGATCTGCTGTATACCTTTCCTCTCTCCTTTCCAGAGTAAATATTAAGTTCGATTGTATGGTTATCTCTTCACGAAGTTGACCTTCAAATCCATCGGATACACTTAGAGATGTGTCGTTAATAACGGAATCAACGTCTCTGCGACGACGGCCAAATGCATTGTAACCGCGACAATTTACCTGATAATTAGAAGATAGAAGAGACACATTTTTATTATCGAAATTTATTTTGCTGCCTATGCATACAAAGTGATTGCAAATCATAAGTGATTATAATACTTACAGGTTGACAGCGTCCAAAGCATACGCGTATATTGCACTGGAATCTTATATTGTCGCTGCTGGGGAACTTGAACGCGTTAAAACTAGCCATTAGGGATTGAGTCTCAGGATTTTGTTCCCATTCTCCGAATATCGTGGGATCTGTCGCGCAGCCATTCTCATCCGTTACGATGTACTCGTTCTCCAAGTTATCCTCCATAGTTTTAGCGACGCAATTTCGCGCGAATCCACCGTAAATAGCTGCGAGATATTATCATTTATTTTCACATTTTACAACAAGAACAGACGAGTAGTAATTCGAGTGGCAATTCCAAAAAATTAATGTGCAAAACATTATTACAAATTACAACTTAATACTCACTTGAAGGTTGAACTTCCACTTGGAGCATTAAATTGTCTCCAATTTCGGCCGAGTTAATTTCATTTCCATTCTGAGCAACTATTTTCATTACGCATATAGGTGGAGGACCAGTATTAGCAATTGTTCCAGCAGTCGTTAACATGGAGACGTTAAAGCCGAGGGTAACATTTTGTTCTCCAGTCTGGTATATACATTTAATATGATAAGCTTGTGCCTTATAAGTCATCAATTTCGGATGTTTCTGTATGACAAACACAAAGCTAGCTTGTCCCTGAAAGAAAAATGAAGATTATATAGATACTTATCAATGCAGCAAACCATTAATATGGATTACAATATAACGTCATTCAACTAACATTCACATGTATAAGTCCGCAATTGCCAAAGGCAACTTTGAACGTCTCTGTTTTGTGATCTGCATCAGCCGGTATCGAGACAACTCGTCTGCACTGTTCATCTTTGCTGCGTCCTTTAACATACAAAACCCCATCAAAATCTTGATCCTGCAAATGTATTACGACTTGCACTCCATCCGACAAACAGCTCACGTCCATTCCCGGTTTGGGGAAATCTGTTCGACCATCTTTTCTGTTATCTAAAAAATAAAAAAATATTATGTTAACATTTTTCAAACAAATATCTCCTCATATTGATCATTAACTTATCATTATTTATAAAACGTGCATTAAAAAAACGAAAAAGTTCGCAAGTTCTATTAAAAAATTGTACATATTATACATATGTCGAATTCTTCTGTGAGGATCTGTAAATTGATAATCAAGATAACATATTTATTTTTAACATACAGCATTGGGTGTACGGATTGCCCAAGTAGCCATTGACACAGATGCAGACAGCTTGATGTCTGGTAGTGTTGCAAAGCGCGTGTACACCGCACTGTTGTTTCTTGCAGGGATCTTGGCAGGTACGGGTGACTTTATCGCAGTATTTGTCATCAGCGCAGTCATCGTTACGTCTGCACTCGATTATACTGAAATCAACTGAAATCAACCGCGACGATAAATCAGCAAGATGATGAAGGGGAAGAAAGACAATTCTCGAGTACACGAAATTGAACGAAGTCTCTTACTCTGTCTGCAATATCCGTTGGTATCTATTCCGTATCCGTACTGCGTTGGACACACGCAACGACCGTATTCGTCTATACTGAAGCCCTTTTCTAAGTCGCACACGCAGTAGCCTTCCTCATTTATCACCATGTTAGATTGCCTCTGACAAGGTATACATATGTCGTTCACATCCTTACCGAATCCAATCGGGCAAACGCAATTGCCGTACTTATCACGGATCTGGCCTTTCCCGATCGGGCACGCGTCCGCTAAAATAAATGATTTAAATATTTTAATATTCTGATTTCCGAATATAAAAAAATAATTTAATTTTTGCATCTCTGATCGATATCTGATAATTACATAATGGGTCACAACGAACAACTGCGTTTCCACGGTATCCTGGAAGACATTCGCATATCATGGTCCTGATCGGACTGGTGTCCAAGACCTTGCACTCGGCGTTAATACCGCATGGTGAAATCTTAGTGCATGGATTGATACATTGTCCATTGAAGCACGCAGTTTGGGACGGGCATTCATTGTCCGCTTTGCACTTCTCTTTAACTACAAGAAGAACGAGAGATTAAAATAAAAAAATTGATATATTGATTTTGACAAAATCAATCCGTATTAATTTTGATTGATGTTTCTTTACCCTCGGTACATCCTGTCTTGACGTCGCCAACATAGCCAGGCGGACACGCGCATTCCACAACGTGATTATAAACGTTGCAGTCCATGATACCGATGCACGGGTTCTGCGCGCAAGGATTTTCGCAGCGGTTGTTGACGCAAGCCTTGTTGGTGGGACAGTCCGAGTTGGTTCTGCATCCTAGCAGGACGCAGGAGACCCGCGGATTGCCACCAAAACCGGGTGGACACTCGCAGATAGCCTTGTGATTGATACCGTGGCACACGGCATTCTTGCCGCAGGAGGCTACAGACGGCGAGCACGCCGGCACGCAGTTGCGTTGGACGCACGCGTGCGAACCGCTGCAATCGCCGTCCGTTCTGCATCCTACAACTAAATATCAAAATATCAAGATTATCAAGTCATCAGAACTTTGTTATTAATTTATTAATATATCTCGAAGGAATGAGGAAATTAACGGCTTTTCCCAAATGGAAACGAGTAGTCTTACCCCTTGTACAAAGAACATCCGGATTTCCATCGTATCCCAGGGTGCACGAGCATATCGGTTTATGATTGATGACATTGCAGACGGCGTTGGGTCCGCACGCGCAGGGATCCCTGCAGATCGCGTTCACGCAGGACCGTTCCGAAGGACAATCGTCGTCCTTGGTGCACTCGATCTTAAGAATTGGCTTGGTGGCCCGGCAAGTACCGCTACCGCTGCTTACGTATCCGCTCGGACACACGCATACCATAGTGCGTATCGGATGTGTCGGCAGGACCCGGCACTCGGACGGCTCGGTGCACGGGTGTATGATCGGGCACGGGACCTGGCACTTGTTGCTCAGACAGGCGAGCATGTCCGGACAGTCACTGTCCTCTCTGCACTCGGGCCTGATTTCCGGCCTGCAATTGACGTACGGGTTTCCGGTGAAGCCTGACGGACAGCGGCATATCGGCAGGTGGTTCAGGACCCTGCACTCCGCGTGGGGCGAGCAGGGGTTGTCATGGACGCAAGGATCGATGCACTGCATGTTGATGCACGAATGATCGCCCGGGCAGTCGCCGTTGCTGTAACAGCCGATCACTCGGCAGCGGTCCAGGGGATTGCCGTGGTAACCCTTGCGGCAGCGACAGTCAGCCACGTGGTTGTTCGGGAAGCACTCGGCATTGGTGCCGCATGGGTCCGTGATCAGGCACGGATTCACGCAGTTGTTATTTTCGCATGCCTTGTCCAGCGTGCACTGACTGTCGTGCCGGCACTCGACGGAGTGGCAAGCGATCTCGGGATTGCCCTGGTAGCCTTGCTCGCACGAGCAGATCGGTTTATGATTCCTCACGTAGCAGGCGGCGTTGGTACCGCAGTTGCAGGGATTGCGACATTGTCTGTTGATGCAGGCCTCCCGATCACCGCAGTCGTCGTTCGTTGTACACGTTCCGATGACCGTTAGTTGTACTGCAAAGTTTAAAATAATTTGTGAATTAATTTTTTTAAAAGTAAAAGTTTTCAAGATTTTCAAGATTGTTTATTTTCAACAATTATTTTTATAGAAATTGACTTTGAATAGCATTTAAACTCTACTTACTTGGCCTGCAAACACCGTCGACATCGGTGATCCATCCCTCCGGACACGTGCAAATCATGGTCCTTACGGGTACCGTGTCGAGAACGTCGCAACGAGCGTTCTCCAGACACGGTTTGATGATCGGGCAAGGATCGATGCATTTTTCTCGGATGCACACCAATTTGTCCGAGCAATCAATGTCGAATCTACACTCGGGCTCCTCGATTTCGTCCACTAGACGTCGCTCGCAATAGGAGAATGGATTTCCCAGCGGAATATTTTCAGGGCAGCGACAGTACGGCACATGATCCTGGACGTAGCAAACCGCGTTCTGTGCGCAGGGTGAACTCTCCGCGCATGAATTTATGCAACGGCCCTCGTTGCAAGCCAGATTGTGGGGGCAATCGTAGTCCGTGCTACATTCGACTCTCTCGCAATGAATCTGCGGATTGCCGTTGTAGCCCGGACCGCAACGACAAGCCGATCGATGATTCTTGCCATAACATTCCGCGTTGATGGCGCATTTGTTGTCCAAGATACAAGGATTCACGCATTGTCCATTGTAGCAAGCGCCCGCGTAATCGCACTCGCTGTCGGATTCGCAATCGACTGAAATAAATACAATTGCAATTAGAGATTTGCTTTAAAAATTGGGATTATTTAGATGACAAGATGGATCCGTACATTAACAACTTCTTCAACGAGAAAAATTATAAAAAAGATAGGACAAATGCAACTTACGTTTGAAGCATCCCAATTGAGGATTTCCAGAATAACCCGGAGGACATACGCAAGAAGGATAATGATTTACGACGTTACACTTGGCATTGGGTCCACAGTTGCAGGGATTAATGCACGCGCCGTTGACGCACGCATAGTTTCCTGCGCACTCGCTATTCGACACGCACTCAGGTATGATTTCCGCTGCGATAAAAAATAATCACAATTTAAGAAAAAGTTATATAGATACACACAGATTATTTTTTTTTTTTTTTTCAAAATAAAATTTTCATCGGTCACGATTCTTACGTGGTATGCACTTGGTCATCGGATCGCCGATATAGCCGATTGGACACTTGCAGACCGAATTGTGATCGTCGACGTGGCACAGAGAGTTCCTGCCGCAAGGCTCGCCAGCGACACATGGATTTACACAGAGCGAATTTATGCATTGCTTATCGCGCGCACATTCGCTGTTCGAGTAGCATTCTGGTCGGGGTGCAGGCAATGGAATAACTGGAACTGCGATAAAAAAAAAGAATTATACGTCTTTAAAGATAAAAAGTAATAATAAACGAAAAACGCTCCAATTAACAACTTTGCATTTACCTCTCGCGCATTCAATGTAAGCGTTGCCAGTGTAGTCTTGAGAACAGAAACAGACACCAGTGTGAGACGTGGATTTACATTGTGCGTTAAGACCGCACTGAGTCGTTAAGCAGGCAGCTATGCATTTTCCGTCCAGGCACGTCTCGTGGTTAGCGCAATCTTGATCCAAATGACACTGCACGTCGTCCAACACTGTAACGTATTTTATTGTCAGTTACAAAGGCAATTAAATAATAATACGCAAAATGTATTACGTATTGATAAAGTTTGTAAGATCGACACGTACCAATCGGCTTGCATTGACCATTGATATCGGTGATCGTGTTCGGTGGACACAGACAGATCATCGTACGAAGTGGTTCCGTATTCAGAACTTTACATTCCTGTTCACTGGTACACATACTAGAGGATATGCATGGGTCTTGACACTTCGTGTTGATACAAGCCAGATTCAATTCGCAATCGCTGTCCTGTGTGCACTCCAACTCGATTGAAGGTTCACCTAAGAATCATACAAATATATCACATGAGATGTCTGAAAACTGTTCTTCTCAATGCCATTTTATTTGTCGATCTAAAATTAACTCTTTTCCAATAAAATTACGCGCAAATAACATTTTATGAACAATCAACATACCGATGCATGTTACGTATGGATTTCCGGTAGTACCCGGAGGACACGTGCACTTTGGCTGATGATCGCGCGCGACGCAAATCGCAGTGTCGGCACAGGCATCTTCGTCACAAACCGGTCTACAGACCCTGTTCAGTCTGTCGCAGGCCTCGCGATCGGCGCAATCTTCGTTGTAATGGCAGATCGCGGAGATGCACGCCACACGCGGATCACCTTGTGTGCCTTGCGGGCAGATGCATTGAGCTCGGTGAGACACCGCTCTGCATTCCGCACCCCGACCACACACGACGTCACCGATGAGACACGGAGTAACGCAATTGTCGTTCCGGCAAGTCTTGTCATAAGGACAGTCATTGTCCGTCTTACATTCCGCTGAAAATTATAACGCGATGAATGAGTGCAATTTCCCGAAGTAATAAAAACTTCTAAATCAGTTTTCAAGTTTCGTTCCTTTTTTGCCTCTAATTTTAATAATTATCTTAATTGAGATAATTTGATCAATTAATTCGATATTTCAATAATTATGTTTATTATCTTGAAATTTATGTATATATTTTGTTATGTGTTATGAAACACTATAATTTATAAAAATTAGAAAATTAAGAAACACTCACGTCTGAAGCATTGAGCTTGCGGATCGCCCGCGTAACCGCGTTGGCAATGGCAAGAAGGATGATGATTGATCGTGATGCACTCCGCATTTAGGCCGCAACGATTGCTGGAGCACGGATCTTGACACAGTTGGTTTATGCACGCTTTATCGGATGGACATTCGCCGTTTGTTCTACATTCCGGAAGAACTATATTTTCTGTGAAGGTATGAGGCAGCGATGTAAAAGACGCGCAATCATTTATGTACAAGAAACATAAAAAGAAGCGGTACGATACCTTCGTAGCAATTTATAAACGGATTCCCGACATATCCGCGGGGACACTGGCATGTGCGGCGGTGGTTTTCGATATGGCACTCTGCATTTCGTGCGCAAGGATTGACGGTGCACGGATTGATACAACGGCGGTTTAAGCAGGCCATATCCGGTGTACATTGCGAGTCACTTTCACATATCGCAACAATTTGTTTGTCCACTGCAAAATATTCACAATTTAATTCTGATTTAATCCATTCAATATATATAATTAATCAAAATAATTTTTCTTCGGAATTTTTCAAAAAGCTTTATTTTTTAGAAAAAAGATATTTGTTTTATTGTATATAGCCATATTTTTTTTTTTTTTATATTAATGTATATATTTATTCGAATAAAAGTTTACCTGGCACGCAAGCAACGGTGGCATCGCCAGCAAAGTTCGGCAGGCATTCGCAGATCATTGTTCTCATCGGTAGAGTATCTACGACACTACATTTAGCGCTAACAATGCATGGTTTTGTTTCTGCGCATGGATCTTTGCAAATACCATTGAAACATGCCAGTTTGCTGGGACAGTCGGCGTCGACTTGACATTCCGGCTGTGGTTCTAATAGATCTGAAATAGCAAGAAACATTTGTATAAAGATATTATCAAATCGTAATTGTTTGTATTTTGACAATCCTCTCACAACAGTCTATTCATCTTCAATCATCTTCACTTGTTAAATATATTTTCTCAATTTTATTAAGAGTAATATAACAATAATGTAATGTTTTCTACGTGATTATTTTTCTCTTATTCTTCTCATAGAACAAAATATTTCTTAATTGTCCTTGATTCATTTTACAAAATCTTTTTATCATATTAAAACAAATTACTTACCCACAAGACACAAGGTGTAAGGATTACCCATGTAACCAGGTGGACATTTACATATCGGTCGATGATTAACGACATTACACAATGCTGGTGGTGGACAGTTGCAAGGATTGACGCATCTCAAGTTGCGGCAGGCCAGGGACGGAGCGCAATCATTGTCGTTAGTGCACTCAGGTCGGTCGCATATTTCATAGGGATTACCAGTATATCCGTCAGGACAATAGCATCGAGTCTTGTGGTATCCGTCAGCGGTACACAATGCGTTGATACCGCATTGTGTAACCAGACAGGTGTCGACACACTCATTGTTGATACAAGATTGAACCAATGCGCACTCGCTATCGCTACGACAGCCAACTACAAAAGAAAAATTAACAAGTAAAGTTAAATATCACAGAAAAAGTTATAAACTATCAACTAAGTATATTTAACGTACGTTGATGACAGTATTGCTGAGGATATCCGGTAAAGCCATCATTACAGACGCATATAGCCCTGTGCATTTGCACGTAACAGCGACTGTTAAGGCCACAAGAATCGAGGATACATGGATCAACGCACTTTTGATTGAAGCAGGTCTTGTCATTCGAGCACTCGGAATTGTGCGTGCACTCCGGAATTGGTTCTACAAAAATATTATTATTTGAATTTTATATACTGATAAAAAAATAAAATAATTTTTTTTGGACTACCGCTGGAATAAGCTCCTTTGTTTATACTCTCAATTTATTTTATATACAGAATTTAACTGTTATTATTAATTCTTTAATTCAACATTTTAATAACATTGAATTTTTTTTAATCATTCATGAATCATCTTAAAAAAATAGATAATTTATTTCGATGTATCACCTTCAAGAGCTGGAATTGTACATTGTACTCGCGCATTGCCCGTGAATCCAACTGGACAGGAACAGATTGGCTTGTGATTGACGGTCTGACAGATGGAATTGATGCCGCAAGCACCGATGCAAGGATCTCTGCATTTTTGCGAGAAGCAGGCCTTGTCGCGCGGACAGTCTGAATTGATAACGCATTCGGGATAGATGCAAATCGCGACGCCATTTCTCATCCTACACTCGCCGTTGTAATTGCAAGGCGACGGATTACACGGGTCAATTTCTAAAACAAAAACGGATGTTTCAGAACAACGGAGAAAACAATTAAAGAATAATATATTTTATATTAGACTTGATATTTACCGATCTTTGTGTAACATTCCTCGAAGGGATTGCCGATTAACGGGGATGGACAGCTGCAAAGTGGACTGTGATTGATCGTCTTACACACCGCCTTGCTGCCGCACACATTCTGAGAACAAGGATCTCTGCATTTGCTCTGAATGCAAGCTTTGTCGCCCGGACAGTCTGAACTGAGGACACATTCCGGATGACAACCGGTTACACTCGTTGGAACGCCTTGCAATCCGGGTAAACACTTGCAAACTGCCTTATTGCCAATTTTGTCACAAACAGTATTCGGACCGCACGGCGAAGGGTAGCACGGATCCGTTTCCTTGAAGTCTTGAACACAAAAAAAAAACCAGAGCAATTAATAAAAAAATTTGTCGCAGGAAAAAAAGATGCAGCTTTAACTCTTTTTTTGTTTTGGGAGATTTTTAATTTTTTCCTTCAACGCGAGAGATAGATGGCGTAAATTGAGAATAAATTATACCTTTAACGGGGACTTGGCAGAGCGTAAAAGCGTCTCCGATGGTCGGCAGAGGACAGGAACAAATGGGGACATGATTGGACACGGTGCAGATCGCGCCGATGCCGCAAGTGCCAGGACAAGGATCTTGACATCTCGTCTTTATGCACGCCTGCGACTTCGGACAGTCGGTATTCACGAGACACTCGGGCTGACAGCCTTGATACGGATTGCCCCTGTAGTTCGGTATGCATTCGCAAATGGCCGTGTCGAATCTCTCGTGGCAGTACGCGTTTATTCCGCACGGTGACGGACTGCACGGTCTAGGCGGTACCGTTGGTGCTGGAGTCGCTAAAATGACAACAGAAAAAACACACAATTAATATCACAGTCATAGCTACGTTTTAACATTCTTGCATGCAACGTATATCTATAACGTACACCATGTAAATTAAATCTAAACGAGTATAGTGAGATTTGCATATAAGAATAAATGTACATGTTTGTTGCATGCATCGTACATGTCTTCTGTACATGTAAAAGTGCAACATGTATATAATACATATGTTCAAAAAAAAGATCTTTTGCGCATGTCGGTGATATGACAAGTAATCGAGTATAGTATTTGAAAAACGATGCAAGATCGGTCCGTGATAAATTGCAAAGAAACCGCAAGATGTGCCGCTTTTTTAAATACATTCGTTATGTACAATATAGTATTTACAGGATCTAGAGAGCAAAAGAAATCAAGATTTACAAGATTGAAATGCTGATTGAACAAGATGTAAGGAGTAATATCCATCAGTGATACGGGTAAAGATATAGCGGGGATTTTCTTACATATTATCTCAGAGCAAACTGTGAATGGGTCTCCAGTGAATGATTCGGGACAGGTGCATCGGGCTTGGTGCAAAGTGACTTGGCACAGTGCATTGAGTCCGCACGATCCATTGCACGGGTCGGTACATTTCTGCTTAATGCATGCTCGATTGGTGGGACATTCGCTGTTTACATGGCATTCGGGTCTACAATTAGGTGGAGATCCTATGAAGGTGGGCAAACAGGAGCAGGAGGGTGTATTATCGGCAGATACCGCGCACTGCGAGTTCAATCCACATGGTGAAGGGTAACACGGGTTCCTGGCGGGTTCTACTTCCGGTGTTGCTGGCGATAGAAAAAAAGAAATTCATTATTCGTGTCAAAGTCAAGGAGGAGATGTTCCCGGCAATGCAAACGGTCAAAGAGTCGCTGCAAGAGAACGGTCCGAAAAAAAAACGTCTTCTAGATCAGGACGTTAAATTTTAAACGCTCACGCAACGTCTCTCAAGTGTTTGCGTTGTCCGGAACACCCTGAACGGTTACTTACTTATGGGGAAACAGTTGACGAACGGGTCACCGGAATGCTGATCGGGGCACCTGCAAATTGGATTGTGATTCCGCACGACGCATAACGCGTTCTGGCCGCAGGCGTTTTCACAGGGATTGCGGCATCTCGTGTTCACGCAAGCCTTGCTCTGCTCGCAATCGGTGTTAACGAGACATTCGGGTCTGCAGCTTGGCGGGATTCCAAAGTAACCAGGTAGACAAGAACAAGAGGCCTGCTCGCCGAATTCGCGGCAAACGCTGTTGGGTCCGCAGGGGGAGGGCTCGCAGGGTTTGACACGTGCTATCGAGACGTAGAGTGAAATTAAAGTGCTTCTTTCAATGGTAAGGCTTTTTTCGGAAATAAATGGAGAGAAAACTCACGTTGCACACGCCTACAGAGGGTGAACGGATCGCCTTCGTAATCCTTGACACAACTACAAGTGGCCACGTGATTAATGACCGCGCATTCCGCATTCTGGCCACAAATTCCGACGCAGGGGTCCACGCATTTGTTATTCGCGCAAGCTCTGTTGTACGGACAGTCAGAATTCTGCACGCATTCCGGTCGACATTCCTGATATGGATCGCCGCGATATTCAGATATGCAATTGCAAATTCCATTTCCACGGCACTCGGCATTGAGCCCGCATGGCGACGGGTTACATGGGTCTGATATTACTGTAGGGATTTCTGTATCGGAAGAGGTAAGAGAGTGTGAATTTAATATCCGTTTTACGCTGTTAAGCTCATATAAAAAATATATGGACAACAATATGGCAGAAACGCTTACGCATAGGCGCCAGATAACAATTGCTGAAAGGATCGCCCGTATATCCATCAGGACAGGTGCAAGCCGGGGTATGATTGATCACGGTGCACAGGGCGTTAAAACCGCAAGATCCAGGACAGGGGTCTCTGCATTTTTCTCTGATGCAAGCCTTATTGCTGGTGCAGTCAGAATCAATTGAACATTCGGCACGGCAATAAGGTGGCGATCCAATATAATTGGGCATGCATACGCAAGACGGATAGCCCCCTCTGTCTTGACACGTAGAGAACGGGCCGCAAGGTGACGGGACGCAGGGGTTTACTTGTAGCGGTGGTGTAGGCATCGCTGGAATAAAATTATATAACAATCTCCGTACTCACGACGGCTTTCAACGACACGCGGATCGTATTTCTCACGCGGATTGTATTTCTGCCAAGACTTACGGGGCATGTCGAAACACTTGACGAAGGGATCTCCAATCTGACCGGATCCGCAACTGCAGAATGGGCTGTGGGACAGGGTGTCGCATTTGGCGTTGATGCCGCATACACCTGGGCACGGATCGACACATTTCTGATTGACGCACGCGCGATTCATAGGACATTCTGTGCTAACGACACACTCGGGTCTGCAATCGGGAGGTATTCCTTGATAGTCGAGTAGGCAGAAACAGCTGGCTTTTCCGTTTACATTGAGACATCGACTGTTCGGACCACATGGCGACGGCTGACAAGGATCACCTACAGGCGTTGGAGCTGTGCGAAATCGATTGAGAGGTGAAATAAGCCGTTTCTACAAACAATTAATAATGACGAACGGTGCCTATGTCCACTTACGAGTTTCTTGCATGGGTTCGCAGTATCTGAATGGTTCTCCCGTGTATCTCGGTTGACAGCTACACGCCGGTATGTGATTAATGACTTCGCAGATCGCATTGACACCGCATGTACCCGGACAAGGATCCTGACACTTATTTCTTATGCAAGCGCGATTGGACGTACAATCGGAGTTGATTATGCATTCAGGTCTACAACCCTCGTATGGATTCCCGTAGAAATCGGGTAGGCAAGTGCAGGAGGCCGAGCCAGAAATTTCACGACACATAGCATTTGCGCCGCATGGTGATGGTTGACACGGATTTAATGGCACAAGCGACGTGTCGACTAAAATTAAGGTTCGTACATTTAACAACGACTACCAAACTTTTTCGCAATTATTAGATGCCAATACAGAAAAAAATATGACAAAAATAAGATATTTTCTATAATAATCGCTACATTTCTTTGAAACTTACTTGGTCGGGGATTGCACTGAACGAATGGATCGCCAGTAAAGTCATTGGCGCAAACACACATTGGGGTATGACTGACTGTTCTGCATTCGGCATTTCTGCCACACGATCCCGGGCAAGGGTCACGGCATTTCTGATTAATGCAAGCCTGTTGACTGGGGCATTCGCTGTTACTGACACACTCCGGTCTACATCTAGGTGGGGTACCCATAAATTGGGGCAGACACGAGCACGATGGAGCGCCATTGAGGACTCGACATACCGCGTTCGGGCCGCAAGGTGAGGGTTGACAGGGGTCTACTGGTGGCTGTGGTTTTTCCGCTGTAATTTACAAGGTGTTACGATTGTCTCGACATAATATATATCACGACGCTAAATCTCTAATTGCGTAAAATTCTTACGTTGGCGAATACATTGAACAAACGGATCTCCCGTGTACAGGGGCGGGCAGCTGCATATCGGGTTGTGATTCACGACGGTACACTGGGCGGTTAATCCACATGCACCGAGACACGGGTCGATGCACTTCTGATTGCTGCAAGCTCTGTCGCGAGCACAATCGGAGCTTATGATACATTCCGGTCTACAAGACGGCGGGGCACCTCTAAATCCAGCGATACACGCGCAAATCGCCTGGCCATTTGACGCACGACAGTGACTATTTGGACCGCACGGAGATGGATTGCACGGTTGTTCCACGATGATAGTTTCTATTTTAATAATAATTGTTACGCATTTGTGCTAAAATATTCCCAAAGCGAATATTTTTGTTTGGGGCATACGAACCTTGAATGGGTGTGCACGAAACGAATGCGTTACCGGTCATGTTTCTCGGGCAGCTGCACATGGGCAAATGATTAACAACGACACATTCCGCGTTAACGCCGCATGTTCCAACGCACGGATCGCGACATTTGCGGAGCATGCATGCCCTATCGCGGGGACAGTCGGTGTTAATCACGCATTCCGGTCGACAGCCGGCATACGGATCTCCAAAGTATTCGAGTATGCATGTGCAAATTCCATTGTTACATCGAGCATTCTGACCGCACGGTGAAGGGTTGCATCGGTCTGGGGGAGGTACTGAAATATGCACAGGTCAAATTGCAGAGATTTAAAATAATAAGTGACATTACTATCTAATAATGAAAAAAAAAATGAGATTCTTACGAGGTATCTGAGGCATCACGTTGCAACTGACGAATGGATCACCGGTGTATCCTTCGGGACATACGCAGGACGGCGTATGATTAATCACCGAACAGCGCGCCAAGAGGCCGCACGATCCTGGACAGGGATCTCTACATTTTTCTCTGATACAAGCTCTGTTAGCGGGACAATCCGAATTTATTGAACACTCAGGTCGGCAGTTAGGTGGAACACCCATGTAATTTTGCGTGCAACTGCACGCGGGGGCATCACCAATAGCTCTGCACAAAGCGTTGGGACCGCAAGGTGAGGGCAAACATGGGTCCTTCGGATATTCAATTTCTGGTTTCGGAACTACGGAAAATAGAAATATCGATATTCTTCTTCGTGTGTACAAAAATAAATGTGATTAAGTTAGAAACTGATAAGATCAGTTGTTTGATCTGTCTTTCTTTAAGATAACCAATTTTTAAATTTCATAAAGAAAGATATCGTATTCTAAAACGTACTTGGCATTGCGAAACAATAGATGAACGGATCGCCAGTGAAACCGTTGGCACAGACACAAATGGGGCTGTGATGTACAATCTTGCATTGAGCATCGCGGCCGCAAGTGCCAACGCACGGATCTACACATTTTTGATTCACGCATGCTCGGTTCGGCCCGCATTCCGAATTTACTAGACATTCCGGTCTACAATTTGGCGGAGTTCCGATAAACTGGGGCAAGCAAGAGCAGACGGCTTGACCGTTATTGTCGGTGCATTGACTGTTGGGACCACAAGGGGAAGGCTTGCACGGTTCACGTTCGGGAACTATAATAATGAAATTCATTCATAATGCGACTTTCCTTAGATGCCTCCGTTTGACTTCTTTCTTTTGTACTGGTTTAATGTCACTTACTGTCAAGAGTTTGATAAATGCAATTTATATACGGATTGCCGGTGTAATCAGGGATACAAGTGCAAACAGGGACATTGTTGACAACTTGACAATTGGTATTGGTGCCGCATGAGCCGGGACATGGATTCTGACACTTCGACCCGATGCAAGCTAAAAGTGCGGGGCAATCTGATGAAATAGTACATTCAGGGCGGCATCCATCGTAGGGATTTCCAATATACTCGGGCAAACATGAGCAAGAACCAACGCCGTTTTGTTCTCTACATATGGCGTTTGTTCCACAAGGGGATGGTTGACAAGGCTGAATCGGTGCCGGTGGTTCGCCTAAAAAAACATAGCTTTATTCTAACATTCTAGATATGTTTAAGCAATAGCAATACTCGATTATATTTCCATAACTGTGATGTTAATGTAATAATCAAAATATAATATTAACAAGAGTCATTATTGATAGGCATGAACAATGGCTATTCGATCAACATGATAACCATAAAAAAGCTAATTAAATAAAATCAAATCTGCAAACTTACTACTGGGCATAATAGTACATTGGACAAATGGATCTCCTGTATAACCGGCACGGCACGTGCAGGTAGGCACATGATTAACAACGAAACAATTGGCCAGAGGGTGACAAGATTCAGGACATGGGTCTCTACATTTACGATTGATGCACGCCATTTGGCTTGGGCATTCACTGTTGCTAACGCACTCCGGTCTACAGTTCGGTGGTGTTCCAATAAATTCCGTCATGCAGGAGCACGATGGGGTATCGTTGATGACCTGGCATTGAGAATTAGGACCGCAAGGTGACGGTTGGCACGGGTTTATCGGTTTTGGTACGTCCTCCGCTTTAAGATAAAAAAAAAAGTACAAATTGCTATATGCCGAATACGAGTACGCGTCGACTAATGTTTGGCAGCAATGAGAAACCTACGTCTTGGTATACAACGTACGAACGGGTCGCCGGTAAATATGGCGGGACAGCTACAAATCGGATTGTGATTCAACACTTGGCAACGAGCGGATATACCGCATGCGCCAAGGCAAGGATTGCCGCACTTCATGTTGATGCAAGCTTCGTTCAGCGCGCAATCGGTATTGACTATGCATTCGGGTCGACAGGCGGGCGGATTTCCTACGAATCCAGGTATACACGTACATACTGCTTGATTATTAAAGCTCTGGCATCGACTGTTTGGACCGCAAGGCGATGGGTTACATGGGTTCTGGACGACAGGTTCTGCAATGGCAATTATTGTCGAAATCATGTTCTTTGAAGAGATCTTCGGGTAGACAAAATTTTTCTACGCTAGAATGATTCTTGTGTGCAAATGGCACGCTGAATTATTCTGGAATTTACCTTGAACCACCGGATAACACGCTGCAAACGCATTACCGGACATTCCGTCTGGACAGGCGCACATTGGCGTGTGATTTATGACCGTACACTTTGCGTTTTGCCCGCAAACTCCAGTGCACGGGTCAAGGCACTTGTTACGAACGCATGCCCTGTCTAATGGACAGTCTGGATTTTGCACGCATTCTGGTCGACACGCGGTATAAGGATCACCTTGATATTGAGGCAAACAGGTGCAGGTACCATCGCGACACACCGCGTTGGCTCCGCACGGGGATGGATTGCAAGGATCTTGTGGCACAGCTGCAGCTGCAAATGTCATCTTAAATAAGCATCTCTACTTTTATAAAATTTACAATACAAAATAAAATCTTTTGAATTTTATATTT